ATTCCCCCTTGCAGTCAAGAGAAGATTTCTGATTACTGGGAGGAGGAGAGGGAAGAGAAGAAGGGAAATTGCTGGCCCTTGGATTTTGTGTCAAGAGGAATGGCATGCCCCCCCACCCTCCCTCCCCTTCCTCAATTCCCCACACAGCCTCTTGCACCAAAATGTTGTTTTCTGAGGATTGCAAAATTCCATCCTGTCTGTGCACAGGATACTGTACACAGGAAGGGAAAAGGAGAAGTGGTACAGTGGAAAAAGGTTGCCTTGAAGCCAGCTTGACGTTTACTCCTATTTCTACCCCCCTCCCCGCCATAATTTAAAAAAAAAACATTCTTGCCCTTCTGATGAAAGAAGCTTTTTTTAAAAAAAATTAAAAGGTGTGAGCTATAAGGGGGGATGCAGGTAGCGCTTGACTTACAGCTATTCGTTTAGTGACTGTTTGAAGTGAACAGTGGCCCTGAAAAAAAGTGAGTTAACAACTGTTTTCCACTCTTATGACCGTTGCCACATCCCCATGGTCATGTGACTTACAATCGGACGCTTGACAGCTGGTTCACATTTATGACGTGATCCTGGGGTCACGTGGTCCCCTTTTGCGACCTCAGTGAGGAAATTAGATTCACTTAACAACTGTGTTCCTGGCTTAACAACTGAAGTGTTTCACTTAACTCTGGCAAGAAAGACTGTAAAATAGAGCAAACTCACTTAACAACTATCTTGCTTAGCTCAATTGTAACTCGAGGACTACCTGTATGGTTTTTCAACAACCCCTCATTCTAAGCCTTGGGCCAGCCAGAAGCAAAGGTCTTGGTTCTCCCTTCCCCAATTTTGTTCTACAAAACCCTTGAGAAAAGAAACATTCCAACACGGTGTGGTTCCTAAAAGTTTACACATACTGCAAATTTAAGTTGAATAAAAAAGAGGAAGTTAGAAATCAAAAAAGCCCTACCTGCTTTTCCAAATAGTTCCTTTTTTTTCTTTTTGATTTGGTTTTCTTTTCTTTCGTTTTTCTTTTTAACAATTATAAATAATCAATAGCGATGCACTGGAGTTCTTAATGTTAGCCATTAAGCTCTAAGACAGAAAGCTTTTTTATACTACAAGATAATCAAATGTATTTTGCCACCGTCTCTCGATAGTTAGCTTTACAGTTCAAACAGTTTTAATAACTTTTTCAAAATTATCCTTTTAGCATTGATAAAACCTTGTTTCTCCTTATCTTTAAAAGTTTAGCCTATCCGAACCCACCATAGTATTAATAGTTTTTAGTTTGCATTGCATAATGCCACAACGCCCCACTCTGGTGTTGGAAAGAAAAACAGAACAGGTGAAGTCACCTGGTTCTTTGTTCAACAAAGGGAAACTGTTCTTATGTCTCCAAACAAAGCACTCTAAAAATATTCTGGCGCTGGCAGGTTGGTTAAGAAGGGCGTGGAGAAGAATACAAACATAGACTCATGTGCTTTTTCAAGAGGCAACTGGACTTCATTTTTTTTTTCTTTTGAAGACATTTTGCTTCTGTTGGAAGAAATATCCTTCTGGGTTCAGTTCCAAGTGGGAAAGAAAGACACTGGAAACATGGAGGCTGCTTGGAAAGATGGCTTAATGGTGGACAGGACCCCATGCCCTGGAGCTCCAAAGTGAAGAGGACGATCACGTGCTTCCGGATGTTGGGTGAAGGGAAAGAAGGGAAAAAGGGAAAAGAGATGCTGAGAGTCCCTTGGTTTTATACCCTCCGTTGGGTCTCCCCTGAGTGTTTCCTGTTCCTGTGCAAGAAATGCATCCCATTGGCTGTCAGACTCCCAGGGGCGGGGCCTTCGCTAACTTTGTAGGCTTTGTCTGGACCCACATGGCTTCACCCGAGGGCTGGCTGATGCACTCTTGCCAGGCCAGGTGGTGAGGTGGGTAGAGGCCTTTGTTATGTAGAATGCTCTGGCCTAGATCTTAATGGCCCGCCCATTAACAAAGGTGTGGGGTGAGCTTCTGCCTCTCTGAGTTTCTACTTCCCTTTTAGGGGAAATATTCTGCCTTTTTAATATTTCCTAGGACATTTCATTTTATCTAGGAGAGGGGTGGGTACTAACTTCCTACACTTCTCATCCAAGAAGCTTCTCCAGCTCTGACAGGATAGTGGGGAATGGTCTTCCCATTCTTTCATGACCTGGATAACTGAGAATCTCTACAGACTGTTGGAAGTTAAAACCTACCCCTCTCCTAGAGAAATGAAATATTTTAGGACATATGTTAAAAAGGCAGAATATTTCCCCTAAAAGAGAAATAGAAACTCAGGGAGTCAGAAAGCCCCCTCCCACTTTTGTTAATGGGCCATTAAGGCTACATAACAAAGACCTACCTCCTGCAGGCCATTCAATTGCCATTCAGTCGCCCTTCATTGCATCACCCAGCCAGTTTCAACCACTTAGCGCACAGACAGCCTACAAAGCTAGCTAGGACCTCGGACAGCAACCCATCAGGATAGAAGCTCAAATTCAAATCCCAACAGAGGGCATAAAACCCAGGGACTCTGAGCATCCCTTCCCTTTTTCACCCAGGTGCTCCAAGGCAGGTGATCCTGCCCACCATGAAACCATCTTTCCAAGCAGCCTCCATGTTTCCAGTGTCTTTTCCCCCCACTTGGAACTGACCCCAGAAGGGTATTTCTTCCAACCAGACTTACCGACTCATAGGGTTGGAAGGGGCCTTGAAGGTCTTCTAGTGTTAATTCCCTACTCCAAGGCAAGAGATCTTCTACCATCCTGGACAAATGGCTGGGAACTCCAAAACCTCCAGGGATGGAGCACCTCCCAAACACCTCCAGGAGGAAAACTGTTCCGTTGATTCATTGTTCCTACTGTCAGGAAATTTCTCCTCCATTCTAGATTGGTGTTTCTCTTTTACAAGCTTCTCATTCCTTCTCCTCCTGCATTTTGGGGCGTTGGAGAATAAGTCAACTCCCTCTTCTCTATGGAAAGGTAAAGGTTCCCCTCGCACATACCTGCTAGTCGTTTGTGGCTCTCGGGGGCGGTGCTCATCTCTATCACAAAGCCGAAGAGCCAGCGCTGTCCGAAGACGTCTCCATGGTCATGTGGCCGGCATGACTCAACGCCGAAGGCGCACGGAACGCTGTTCCCACCAAAGGGGTCCCTGTTTTTCTACTTGCATTTTTTACATGCTTTCAAACTGCTAGGTTGGCAGAAGCTGGGACAAGGAACGGGAGCTCACTCCCTTACGCGGTGCTGGGGATTTGAACCGCCGAACTGCCGACCTTTCTGATCGACGAGCTCAGCGTCTTAGCCACTGAGCCACCGCGTCCCCTTCTTCTCTATCAGAGCCCCTCAAATTTTACAAGACTGCCATATGTCAATCTGTCTCTATCTCAATATATATCTACTGTATATCTATTTATATTTCTATACAGGCAGTCCTCAACTTACGAACCACAACTGAGCCCCACATTTCTGTCGCTAAGTGAGACAGATGTTAAGTGAATGTTGCCCCATCCCATTTTATGACCATCCTTGCCACGGTTGTTCAGTGAATCTCTGCCGTGGTTAAGTTAGTAACCCGGCGGTTAAGTGAATCTGCCTTTCCCATTGACTCTGCTTCAAAGAAGGTCGCAAAAGGGGATCCTTTGACCCCCCCCCCCCCAGGACACTGCAACCGTCATAAATGTGAATCAGTTGCCCAGCGTCTGAATTTTGATCACGTGACCATGGGGTCATGCGACAAGGGTCGTAAGTGTGAAAAAGTCATGAATCGCTTGTTCAGTGCTGCTGTAGTTTTGAACGGTCATTAAATGAACTGTTGTAAGTCGAGGACTACCCTATCTGTGTTAAATATGCTGCCCATCTCGCTGTTCCGAGGGGCTCTTGAGTGGGTTGCAGCAGTATAAAAGCATAAATATAAAAACATTAAAAGCATCAAGAGCCTCGGGGGCGCAGTGGTTAGAATGCAGTACTGCAGGCTACTTCTGCTGCCTGCTGGCTGCCTGCAGTTTGGCAGTTCGAATCCCACCAGGCTCAAGGTTGACTCAGCCTTCCATCCTTCCGAGGTGGATAAAATGGGGACCCAGATTGTTGGGGGCAATAGGCTGACTCTGTAAACTGTTTAAAGAGGGCTGTAAAGCACAGTGAAGCGGTATAGAAGTCTTAAGTGCTATTTCTATTTCTATTATTTCTATTTGTATTATTTCTTCTGTTCTATTCTATTCTATCCTATCCTATCCTATCCTAACCTAACCTAACCTAACCTAACCTAACCTAACCTAACCTAACCTATTATTATTCTATTCTAGTATAGTAGTAGTTAGAATACAGTATTGCAGGCTAACTCTGCCCACTGCCAGCAATTTGATCCTGACCGGCTCACGGTTGACTCAGCCTTCCAAGGTCGGTTAAATGGGGACCCAGATTGTTGGGGGCAAGAGGCTGACTCTAAACCCCTTAGAGAGGGATGCAAAGCTCTATGAAGTGGTATATAAATCTGAGTGCTATTGCTATTAAGATTAACAATTAAAAATAAGGTTAAACTCAAGCATACAGGGATGAACTTTGCCTCTCAGTCAGCCACCTCCAGGATAGCCTGCCCTCATCGGGTCCCCAAGGCCTTCCTGGAAGGCCAGAAGGATGGTGGAGGCAGATCTCAACTCCAATGACACAATTTCCAGTGAGACATAATAGCTGGTAATGCAGAAGCCAATGTTTTGGTTCTCCAGATTAGAATTCTTTTATTGGCCAAGTGTGATTGGACACACAAGGAATTTGTCTTGGTGCAAATGCTCTCAGTGTCCATAAAAGAAAAGATACATTCGTCCAGAGTCAAGAATCATCAGGTACAACAATTAATAATAGTCATAGAGTACAATAAGCAATCAAATCTAGGAAACAGTCAATGTGATGGACAACTGAGAAAGCCAGGTGTCCATTTTGTCCTCCAGTTCCTGCTTCCCAAGGTCAAGAAGCTCCCAGGCCAACCCCTTGACCAGCCTGTCCTCTTTCCCACAGAAAAGAACGGCCTGTCATTTATCGAAACCTCTGCTTTGGACTCTACAAACGTGGAAGCTGCTTTCCAGACCATCCTGACTGGTGAGTGGGGCCTTTAGAGGCCACCTAGAGTTCTCCTTGTCCCTGAAGTTCTTAAAAAAGTATCTGGCTGACTTTGGCCTTCAAAGGTGGATAGCACTTGGGTTGAAAGACCAGCGGTAAGATTGAATCCTGAAGTAGGAATGCTTTGGAAGAAATTCTGTTTTCCTCTTGCAACTCTCCATCACTTATTGCTGTTGTTCTCCAATATACAGTAATTCCCTCTGAAAGAAGGAATGAAATTGCGACAAGACCAAAATGTCCATAATGGGCAATATTTTATGTTGTAAAACATATTTTCCCCCCCCCATGTTGGAAGCACCAAAGTGGCAAAAGGTATTTGCCGGTGGCATCACTGTTGCCCAGGGGGATGTCCAGGTTGGGGGATCCTTTTATGGTCCCAGGAAGTTTCCCACTGAAGGGGTACCCATTAATCTACTTGGGGTCACCCACTTTCCAACTGCTGGGCTGGCAGGAGCTGGCGCGTGTGACGGGAGCTCACCCCGTCCTGCAACAGTAACAGGACTCGAACGTGAGCCTGCTGATCGTCAGCCCAGCATTCTGACCTCGTGAGCACCGTGCTCCTCCATAAAAACAATAGAAGATCACGAACTTGAAGGAAGAAATGGGTAAACCAGGTTAGCTGCCATCCCACCGTTCCTTCTCAAAGCGTTCCACCTGCCACCTAGCAAAACGTTGGTGCATCATGGGTGGTGCATTTGCATTTGCAAATCAGCAGACAAGAAAGGAATTCATCTGGATGACCAGAAAAGTTTACAAAAAGGGGGCACAAGGCATGTATCCCATATATTCTCTTACAATCTGTGTACAGAAAGCAGGTTGTCCCATGCGAAGGCTCCCATTTTTAAAAATTGCCATTGCTATATCCTGGTTGTCCACATGAGCGGTGAGGAGAAAAGTCCGTCCGTTCCATCAGGCGCACCCCAAAAAGCAAGCAAACCACAGGGAGACTAAGATTTCCCTCCTGACATGTTCGTAGTTTGACGAAGTTTTGAGAATTCTGCATGCTGAATTTGTGTCCCAGGAAAAATGGGTGTGGAAGTGATGGTTAAAGTCCTTTTCAGTGCACAGCTGGGTTATGGCCGAAGGCTTCGTTTTTGCCCTTCCTATGTGCAGCGTGGTAAAACTGACTTCCCTTTCTTTTGAAATTCTTTGGAACCGTTTGGGGCATTTTCGTTTTTGAGCAGTTAATGCCACCAGTCAATGATCTGCAGAAAAGACACTAACGAATTTGCCGACAGCAGCATTTCAAGAGCATACCTCAGTCTGTGTTTTAAAAAAAGACATTGCCCTTCTCTAGGAAAAGAGGGTAGAAAAGAGGAAAAACAGAACAAATAGAAAAGAGGTGTGCAAAAGAAAAAGCTCGGTTTTGCAAGTTTTAAATCTTAACGACACATCCCACCCCCGAGTTGAATATTTTGTTGGTAAACTTCTCCTCTTCCTTCATTTCCCCAGCTGCCTCGTGGCCTTGGTGTGCTCCAAGAACCATGGCACACCTGGATGCACCTGTGTCTTTTTATTCCTTCCCTCAAAAGCAGATACAAGGCTGTATTTCTTTCTACGATTGCCCCGTTTTGAAAGCATGGTTAACCTTTGCCTCTAGAATGTCAGGCTGGTTAAAGACATGCCATTCACCAGTCCACGCCCATTCCAATAAACGGTTAAATTAATATTTTTTTGTAAGTCCCCCAGAATAACGTGAGAGTGAGTGGGTGGCCATATAAATTCTCTTAAGTAAAAAAAACAACAATAAATAATGAAACAACTGTTTTTTGGGGGGGGAGATGGGGCCAAATTGAGACATGCAGGGAGAAATTCTGAACGGCAGTGGGGCGGGGTAACAGGGACAGGAGGCTTCCCTGTGGCCCTGGGTGCAATTCTTTGGAGACAGGAGCATGGGTGGGCTTCAAACGTTTTAGCAATGGGTTCTCTGCCCCGGTTGCCGGGTGGACGTGGCCTAGCCGCCCTCCTGCACCACAGCGGGGAGGAGTTTGGACTCCCCAGGCTCCGGAGGCTTTCCTTGAGCCTCCAGGAGGGTTTGAAAATGGCCCCCCCCCCCCCCGGACTCCGGAGGCTCTCTAGAAGCCGGAAACAGGCCCATTTCCTCCCTTCCCTATCAGAGCATTTGACAGCGTGGCTACCTTTATGAGACAAGCCAGGAGCAAACCACAGCGCACACAGAGACGTACACCATTAACAGTGGTTTATATGCTACAGTTATATACAGACGTGATAGGCAAAATACCTTTAGTCTCCAACCTTGGCAATTTTAAGTCTTGTGGACTTCAACTCCCAGAATTCCTCAGCTTAGCCAAGCAGCTGAGGAATTCTGGGAGTTGGAAGCCCACAAGTCTTAAAAGTTGCTAAGGTTGGAGACCCCTGCTTTTAGAAGCCAGCTTTCTCCTTCTTAACACCCGGAGAACTTCTGCACTGAATCCTGGTCACAAGGAAAGAGACCCACGCCCTCTAATGGCTGCCTTTTATACACACACCTCTTAAGGGGATCTTTAATCTCCGGTCTTAAAGGGGAAATGCTCATGCTGTGCTGAATCACTCTTGTTTCATCAGCCTACATCTGGCAGCTATTCACCGCTGGTCAGTTCTTAAATCGTAATACCTTAACATTCCCAAACTTCCGGGAGGCCCGTTTTGCACTCTCCCCGAGCCTCTGTGAGCGCCCTGCAGTTACCGGCATCCAAAACGGGCCACGTGAGGATTCCTGGGGAGGGGAGGGGCAGGGTGGGCGGGGCCAGCCAGGAGTGGGATTTGGGGGTTCTCCAAACTGCGCAGAATCTTAGCTAGGGGCTCTCCTGAACCCCTGGACAGGGGGATTGTCCAGCCTTGGCCATGCAGAGAAGGGAGAGCAGGCAGGGGGGGCAGCCCAGCCTCACCCTACTTGTCCCATCGCATCGCTCTGGGATTCCCTCCAGATGTTGGCAAGTGGAAGGTCAGAAATATTCTGGATTGTGTTTCTGCTGAACTGTGTGGTCCACCTGAAGCATTCGGGAAGAAGACAGGCAGCCCTCGACTTAACAAGCCATAATGGACCCCAAAATTTCTCTTGCTACATAAGATAATCGTGAAGTGAATTTTCGCCCACTTGACGGCTTTCCTTGCCCCGTTTCTTAAATGAGTCGCTGCAGCGGTTAAGTTGTTTTAACAACGGTTGTTAAGTGAGTCTGGCTTTCCCGTGGACTTTGCTTGCCAGGAGGCCCCCAATCTCATGACCTGCAAGACCGTGGAACCGTCATAAAGACGAGTCACTTGCCAAGCGTCTCAACGTTCCTGAGTCACTTTTCCCAGTCCCGTCGTAACTTTGCATGGTCACGAAAGGAACTGTTTGAAAGTTGAGGGCCACCTGTATCTGGAATGTGCGGTTTGAAACACAAACAGAGCGGTCTTCTGAATTGAGGATATTTCCCTTTCTTCTGGTTGAGAAAGTTTAGTTTAGTTTATTGTCACTGCACATCATAGAACAAAATTAAATACTAAATATAGTAGAATTCAACAGAGTTACTGCCCTAGGACAGAAGCTGTTTTTCAGCCTATTTGTCCTTGTTTTTATTCTCCTATACCATCTGCCAGGTGGTAATAGTTCAAAAAAGGAGTTCCCAGGATGAGATGGATCTTTGAGGATGTTTTGAACTTTCTTAAGGCAGCAGGAGCTATGAAGCTCTTCCAAAGAGGGGAGAGGGCAACCCATGATCCTCTGGGCAATGACATTCACCCTCTGGAGTGCTTTCCTATCTGCCCCTGTGCAATTGGCAAACCATACAGAGGTGCAGTAAGTTAAAATACTCTCTATGGTGCAGCGGTAGAAGGTCACCAGCAGTTTCTCATTCCGTTGTTGTTTTCTGAGAAGTCTCAGGTAGTATCGTCTCTGCTGGGCCCTTTTGACCAGGGCTTCAATGTGAGCACCCCAGGTCAGGTCCTCTTTTAGGGTAACACCCAAAAAAGCCTTGCAAAATAAGGCTTGTATCCTGTTGGAGCCTCATTTGCCTCCCCCACTGCCCCACTTAAAGGAAAACAACAGGATTGATTGATTTCAGGAGTAGTGTGTGTCCTGACAATCCAGAGGCCAGATATCCTAATTAACCACCCGGGGATTATAGCAAGTCCCAAAGGTAGCATTTGCAATACTACGTGTCCCAAGAGGTAGGAAGTGGCCCTGGATCTCTGCTTGATAAACAGCAGCTTAGAGGAGATAAGAAGGTGATCTTCTGGAATTTGGAAGTGGTGCTTGGAGTGGCTTTTAAGTTCAGGTGAAAACCAGTCATCCCAGGACAGGTTTTAATCCCCATAAAGCAGGAAGAAGTCTCTGGCAGGGCATTGGGTCAATAGAAGTCAGGACTCAGCAAGGAAAGGCTTAGACCAGGGCTGTCCAACCTTGGCAACTTTAAGACTTGTGGACTTCAACTCCCAGAATTCCTCAGCCAGC